CGTATCCACTGCAAACCAAAACCCTAATTCTATGGTTTTGAGCCATATTTAAGGGCTCTAACTTCTTAGGATCCTTCCCATAACCAGCCTCCATCACCTATGATGATTCCTTAAGAAACACTAACCCCATCCAACTTGTTTTGAGCCTTGGTACCTTTTGTGAGCTTATCTTCTTCATTTGGTGGTTGGATCTTGAAGAATAAGGTGTTTGTAAAGTGTATGGAAGAAGGATTCAAGTATAGATCCAGCAAAGTTGCTTCATTTATGGAACATTGTAAGTAAAAAGCTTATAACTTGTCATTGATTTCTTAGATCTTGTTAATGGTCATTTTTGTGACTTTTTGGTCCTTTGAACTTGTGTTTTGGGAGTTAAGAGAACTCCAACACCTTTTGAGCTTTAAAGAAAACTCTTGAGACTTTTTGGACTTTGAAAGTTGTGCTTTGGTGCTTATTCATTAATTCATGCAAGTGGTGTTAGCATTTTTTTCAGTTTAATGCATAAAGTTTAGATCTTGCTTAATTATAGTGTCTTAATGGATAAAGTTCGAAACTTTATCCATTAAGACATTCTAAAGGTCCATATCTAAAAGTTTGAAAGGATGGATTTCTATATTAAGAGCTTAATAGAGTTTTTGGACTCTTGAGGCTACGCTGAGTGTAGCTGTTTGTATGCCAAGTGTATGGCTACACTAAGCGTAGGTATATTCTACACCGAGGGTAGAGTCACACCGTTGACTTTTTGACCAGTTTGACTTTTAGTCACACTTGGGTATAAGTGGGTATTTAGCTAAGGGGTAGTCTTGTTTTGGATTTAGGTAGCTTGGATTAGTTGTTATCTTTGTTGGGAATGCTATTGAGTTTATGTTATTTCATTCAGGTGAGTCTTCTCCTTATACTTGCTTCTGTGGTAGTATATGCTCACTAGTTGGGTCTTACTTGTTGATTATTCCTACGTGTGAACTAAGTTGGTGATCACTCATGGATTGTAGTGAGTCCACGTGACTACTGATAGTCCCCAGTGTTACTAATAATCCGTGAGGTGTGTTGTTAATCTACAAGGCATGTTGTTAGCCTACTGGCACTATAGATATTCCCCGAGGTTGCTGTTAACCCATAGTTGTTTATGTTGTGTGTTGTATGTGACATTTGAGATTGCTTATAGTTATAAGGTTGTTGATAAAAGATAGCTGATTATTATGTTGTGATGTATAAGATATTTTGGGGGACTCACTACGCTTTGTGCTTACAATTATGGATTAACTATTTTGAAGGTACTTATCAAACCGCGAAGGTGAGATTGTACACACACATCAACAGATTTATGATTTGAAGTTTCTGCATTATCTGCTTTAACTCTAATTCCTAAATAATGGTTATAAAAATGGAAGTTTAAATTGCACTAAAAATGAAAAATTAGCCTGGGATTTTGGGATGTTATAAGTACTTATCGATAGCTACCCATAGATATAAAAACCATCAAAAATGGAATCTTTATGCAAAAGTTATGATTTTTAGAAGAAAACTAAATTCGGAGCAACCAGGAGCCGACTTGTCACACCACCAGAGGGTGACACGTGGCACCTTCTCCATTCACCCTTCCTCCCTATGACTAACCATTACAATGTTGACATGTGGCCAGGACGCGATGTGCCTAAGGGTGGAGTGCCCTATGAGTTTGGCTATAAATAGAAGCGTTTTGCTAGCCTTTCTGTACCAATTCACCTAGAAACTCTTCCAAACTCTCACAAAACCCTTGAGACCCTGTTCTAGTACTTCTTAGGCATTAGTAGCAAATCTCTAGAGCATTAGAGAGCCTGGAGAAATAGATTTTTCTACTTTAAAGCTCTACCCGTGTGGTATCAAGTTTTTCACTAAACAAAAAGTAAGTCGCGTTATGCTTAATGTGCTTTAAGTATAACTTATATTTATGTTTATAATCGTTATTATGAACTTATAAATAAGACTTATCTGTAATACCTGTCGTTATACTGATCAATCTACTTACGAGAATGATGTCAATGCAAGATCAGTGAGGTGTTTAAAGTGGATTTTCCAAACAATATATCTTTATACGCTAAACAGATCCTACCTTCGATATGATATTACCTGGTTGTTTCTTATCAGCTATAAGTTGGTATTTCGTTTGGGATTATTGATATATCTAAGTAACTTTTATTATAATCACAGATAATATAAACGAGGATTGAACATAGTAACATTATATCTAAGTTCTTTTAAAAGAAAAAGTTGAAGCGTATTTGGATCGCAGATTTATCTAAAAGTCTTTCACCTTTAACCAAGTGGGCATGTAGTTACTTTCGAGTGCATACTTATAATAAAAGGATTTAGTGCTTGTATATTAATATTATATTAATTGTTTACTATCGGTATGCTTGTTTTGATTTTATTAGTAAGTTATAATCTTATCATGTGATTAGGAAACTTTATTTGAAGTTGATTTTCATTCATTATAGTCTTGTTTAATTTTAAATTAATACTTATAAAGGATATTTTAGATCGAAGTAAGTTGAAAATCTGAATAGCTCATAAAACTGTAGAGTATGACTGGATTATCTTCTACTGTGAGAAGACGATAGTTAATTATTCTAGACGGTCTTGTGAATTACTTTGATAGTGTGAATTTATAACCTACATATGTAGATAAAATGAGATACCATATTTATCAAATACTTTGAACATTTGTTACCTTTAAATGACTTACACTGTCCAATGACTCTCCTAGCCGTGTAGTCAAACAATTACTCAAACGATTTATCAGGTTAACTAACTCTTCTAGATAATCTTGAAGTAGGATTTTGTGAGAACCGGTTGGACTGAGTATGTTTGGATAGAATTTTTTGATATATATATATATATATATATATATATATATATATATATATGTTGGACTTATATATTTATATTGTTTTGAAATGTTTTATTGCAGGATTGTTAGGTCATAATTTAGTGGTTTGGGCTAGGCATCAATATGTATAGGTCTGAATAGGGTTTTGGTCGTATTTGGTGTTTGCGGTCCGATTGGTTCACATTCTAAGGTGTTCACGGCCGTGAACATGTTCACGGTTGTGAAGCTGTGTGCGGTTGGCTGTGTCAATATATATAAGGTGTGTCTTGTGAGTGTAAAGTGACATTAGCCGTGTGTGTGTTTTCAAGGTGTACCAGGCGGTTTTCAGCCCTGCTATAAAATCGTGTGCATTGCTTGATTATTTCCTTATTCTACTCCGTTCTTGATTCATTCTGCTTGTTCTTGTTTGATCACTGGTTTGGTTCCTTGGATTTGGGGGACTTTACAAGGATTATTAATATAATTTAATAACATTAATGTGCTTGAAAACCTTATGTATCTCACCAAGTTTGCGAAACCTGACACACTCAATTTATATACATCACAGAGACTGCTACTAAGACTGCTGGAAACTAAATAAGATGTTGAGTGAATTAAGAGATGTGTCTGTTATAGTATTCATGACCTTTAAGTATTTACGTTGTAATCAATCTTAGATAGTTAATTATGATATCCTTGATATTATAAAATTTTGAAAAAAATATTTGTTATCTCAAAAATATTATATTAAATTGGGATTTTCGCAACAAAAACAACACATAATTTTAAAGCGTAAAGACAAAATTTTAATTGGTTTTGAAAAATATGAGATATCACAATTAGCAAATAAAATGATTAAACAATTTGACAGTTAATCATACTATAATACTTCAAGTTTTCAAAACAATTTGCAAGACAAGAAATACATGGTTCTATTACAATCACATGATCACAATTTTATTCCACGTAATGGAACAAAAGTTATGGTTTGGGCCTAAGAAAAAATAATTTTATTCAATGGAATAACACAAAAAAATATTTTTTTTTTAATGTAAAATAGCTTAAAAATGGAGTTTATTAAAAAAACCAGTTATAGCACCACTACGACGGTGACCATCCTTACTAATAAATGAATGTTTTTTTTGTTACTTGTCATATTTGACACATGTTATTTTTTTAAGATTTTTAAAATTATTATTTTCCACTTGTCATTTTTTGAGGATTTCACATTTCTTAAATCAAATTTTAATAAATTCTAATGGATTATATATATATATGTAAAGTTATTATTCTATTAATTTGATAATATATTCTCATAAATAGTCCAAACAATTTGATTTTTTTCATAAATACTCCAAAAGATTACATTTTGTATGGAAAAACATTATTTTATAAAATATTTAATGTTTATATATTTTAATATTAAAATTTTACTTTTAATAAACCCGTATAATATTCAGATCTCATACCTAATAATCGTAATAAATAACGGTAAATCGGGGGTAATAGCTCCACTGTTATTCCAAACTATTATTTTGAAAACACTGGTTTTTACCTCCGCTAACCGCTACTACAGGAGTATAGGACCGCGATTGACTGCAGAGGTAATTAGTATTAAGCAGTCACTAATTGGTGAGAAGCTCGGCAACGAAAGTTGGTGCTGCCATCAGGGATGTAGATGCTGGTTGTCAGCGGTGTTGAAGGTCGGAAGGGGGAGAGAGGAGCAGTCGGATTGAAGAAGGGAGCTTTTGTAAATAATTAATGACAAATTTTAGATGCTATATCAACACCATACGGATAAAATTACCAAATTATCACATGCCCTGTAAAACGGAAATTATTGGACATTTAGATGGTAACAATTTTAAGAATTTAAGGTCTTAATTAACACGTTTTTTACAAATTACCACGTTTTGGAAAATTCAACCATCATTTAAGTCAATACTCCTAAAAATATACATAATCTCACATCTATAGTGAATGGACACCTAACAACACCCATGTTTCAACATAACTTTATCCAAACACACCTATATTCGCAAATAACTCAGCCATGTGATTATTGAAACAAAATCCCGTAAGTAGGAGATTTCTTCAATTCTTCTCTTTCCCATCTTCGTCTAACCACACCACAACACACACACACACAAACACAATGAGTTCGATTTCTGAAGAAAATCAACAAACAAGTGTCCTGCTTGTAACAGTTGCAGCTCAAGGTCACATAAACCCCATGCTAAGGCTGGGCAACCTTCTTGCGTCCAAAGGCCTCCACGTCACTCTCGCCACCCATGACCCTGCCCTGAAAGACCACTCCTCCACCGTCGGCGGCGTCCACCTTGAGTATTTTTCCGACGGCATACCTCCAGAACACGATCGACAATCCGGTGATATTGATTTCGCTATGAACACGCTGGGTAAGTTTGGACCGGGAAACCTTTCCGCCCTGATTCGAACTCACTGCCGTAAATTCGCGTGCATCATCAACACCCCTTTCATGCCATGGGCGGCTGACGTCGCAGCGGAGTTTGCGCTACCCTGCGCCATGGTTTGGATCCAACCATGCACAGTCTATCAGATATATAACTGTTTTTACAATCGTCTCAACGAGTTCCCAACTGAAAATAACCTTGATATGATCGTGAATTTGCCTGGGCTTCCATCACTGTGTGCGGAGGAGCTACCGTCCTTTGTTCTTCCGTCGAATACGTTTCGTAGCTTCGATGGTATATTGCAGGAAGTCTTTCATAACCTGCATAAGGTCAAATGGGTGTTGGGAAATACGTTCTTGGAACTGGAGAAAGATGTGATAAGGTCTTTGAATGACGCGGGTCATTCATTTTTGCCTGTCGGACCAATTGTTCCGGCAACCCTATTTGGCAAGGAAGACAACATCGATGGCGATCTAAAGGGTACAAATAAGTTTAAATCAGGCAACGAGAATGATTGTTTAGAATGGCTAGACAAGCAACCACCGGCGTCGGTTGTTTATATCTCATTCGGAAGTCTCCTGTTTTCATCTGACAAACAAATAGAAAGCATAGTAACTGGTTTGAAAATTACGAAACGACCGTTTCTCTGGGTTGTAAAGCTGCCGGAAAATCAAGAAACCCAAGAATTTGAGATCTTGGAGGAGATAAAGGAACAGGGTTTGATCGTGAGATGGAGTCCACAAACTGCTGTGTTATCACATCCATCAGTTGGGTGTTTCTTAAGTCATTGTGGGTGGAACTCACTGATTGAAAGTGTTACCGCCGGTGTACCAGTGATTGCTTGTCCACAGTGGACTGACCAGCCGACGAATGCTAAGCTTGTTACCGATGTTTGGGGCATCGGGGTGAAACTAAATAAGAATCTAGAATCGGGTAATTTTAATGGGGAAGAAATGGCAAAATGCGTGGAAGAGATTATGACTGGGCCTAGATCGGAGGAGTTCAGAAAGAACGCGGCGGAGTTGAAAAGGGCAGCATATGAGGCGGTGGCAGACGGTGGCTCGTCGGACAAGAATATTCAGTTGTTTGTAGATGTAGTTTCTTCTTGCTCATGAAACTCAAGTATGCAATGTAATGACGTGCTTTGTGCATGATATCTTGTACTCTTGTTTTCTATTATTTTTTATTGGAAAATGAATGCTTATTGACATTTTATCACTAAATTGTCACGATGAAGATCTATATTGATTTTCTGTCTAAACATCATTACCTTTTGAAATTATAATTATAGTTTGTTATTCTGAATTATAATGATGTGTACACAATTTTGAGAGGCCAATGCGGTGATGAAAACAATTTCTCATAGGATAATTATCGATTGCTACATGATAGGCTGGTTTTAGAAGCAGTGAGGATCACATGTTGTTTAAGTCGAAACATGTGGCATACATATTCACATGTTGCTTAAGTCGAAACATGTGGCATACATATTCACAAGGGATGCACATTCAATAACAAGTTAATCCACCCAACATCATCCACTTAAAAGCATCCAAATTTTGGATTTTTAGTTGTCAATTTTTCTATAATTTTCATATCACGATGACAATACCAACTTAAACAACTCAAAAATTCTACAAAACTTCATGGGATAATAACTTAAGAGGATAATGTATTTCAACTTTTAGTCATATTTGGTCACTAAATTATTTTTCGTGTCTTATTAACCCATGAACTTGTTGAAACGTGTACATTATACCAGTATGAGCAGCGGTAATAGTGGATTTTCCGGTTCTCAACATGGTTTCCAGTCAAGTATGATTTTCCGGTCATCTTCTTCGGCGACATTCCGACATTCGTTACCTCTGACCACACTTTTAATCTAGGTTTTAGTGAAGGATTAATTAGAACTTACAAAACACACCCAACTATGTATTCTTGGTGTTTATGTGTGAAAGTTCGAAGCTAATGAAGATGAACATGAACATGAATACACAAAAATGAACTCACATATCATAGCCTCCGATATGCAAAACCCTTTTCAGAACGTCGTTGTCTTCTACGGAAAACCCCCTTTCTTCCTTATGATTTTCTACAAAACCAAGTTTCGATCTGCAAACACTAACACCTATGGTTTAAATCAAGCTTTTAAGGAAAAAGTTTTCAAAAGCTCTTTCTTCTTCATCTTGTTCATCAATGGCAAAGTTGTAACTCTTTTAGATTTCAAAGATTCATTTCAGATTTCGAGCTTCCTTTCAGATCCAAGCCCATCCACTTAGGGGTTTTTGGGTTCTATACACATGATGCACACAAGAACAAGTTATTGGTTCATTTTTCAGGTTTGAGTTCATTTTTCGTTTGTTTATATTCCATCTTTGATTTTTTGATTCAGTGACACAGACGATGAGCACATCTTATATGGGTTTTGTTTCATAGATGAGTTTTGATGAACCACCATTAAAACCCTTAAAAACTTAAAAATCCAAGATAGGTTTTGATGAACCACCATTGGATCTTTGAAGATTTGTGTTCAAATAAAAACTTTTTTGAAAATCGTTCACTTAAGAGTATAAGTACATTGCATTTCTAGTCTTGAGTTCTTATCTTGTTTGAGTTGAGTTCATCCAATTTCTGGTTTTTGAGTTGAGTACATCGCATTTATGGTCTTGTATCAGACCATCAGAGTTCTTATCTTGTTTGAGTTCATCTAATTTCTAGTTTTTGAGTTGAGTACATCTGAACCTGTGAAACAACCTCAAATGAAGATGATCGGAAAATCATACTTGGCCAAAAACCACGCTGGAAACCGGAAAAACCTACTATTATTGTTCATAATGATATAATGTAAATGTTTCAACAAATTCAAAGGTTAATAAAACACAAAAAATAATTTAGTGATCAAATGTGACCAAAAGCTAAGGTATTTTGCCATTTCAAGTCATTAACCACCGACTTACTTTATCATTCAACATTATATAATTTATGAAAGGTTTTGGCATAACTGTAAAAGGTAATTCTTTCATAGTGTAGTGGAAACATATGATCCTAAAATTATGTTTCAAAAAAATAATTATAATAACATTATACAATTTATATGATCTTTCCTTTATGAACTTGATACTTCATTTGAAGTTATTGCTAATTGATTTCATTTTCCATTCCTATTTTATCTTATTACTAAATTTAGTAATCTTTATCTGTAAACACACTTGCTGTTCCAAATTGTATTTATATCTTGTTTATAAAAAAAATTAAAAGTTAGACATTTTCGGACAAGAAGTGATATTTTCACTTAAGAAATTTATTCATCCATATAAAATGTATGATTTATTGATCGACAATAACTACAAGGAAATTATGAATCAATTTTCTTAAGTGAAAATATCATACTTTTTGGATACCCGAATCTCTATCCATATCCATTTTAGATATCCACAATTGGGATATACGCTCATTTTCGGATACAAATTCTAATAGTATAATCTAGTATCATTTAAACGCACTTAAAAAGGAAAAGGAATACTTTTTAAGTTTTGAACTTCAGCCACCACCACTTGATGTGGAGGCCTAAGTTCAATGCTTTTAAACTGTTAATACCTAGCCCACCATATTCGTTTTTTGGACAATACCTTGTTCCAAGCGATCCACGACTTGATTGTGTTTTATTCTTTTTGTTGGATATCGAGTAGGGACAAAGGGAGCAAGTTGATCTCGAAGGAATCGCTTGAAAATCCAAGGATCCCCCTTAAACCCAGATATAATTATTTTAGTATTTGTTTCTTTATGTTTGGCTATTTCTTGAATTTTTGCTATGGGGTCCTTTTCAAGTAAGTACGCTTTACTCTCAAAAAAATAAATTTCATATAAAAAAATACCAATTATTAGAAAGTTGATTGCAATTATAAACAAATCAGTTAAACGCTTCTTACGTTATATGGGCATATCATTCTACACTCTATAGATAAGAGCAGAGAGTTTGACGATTTGCTTACATATCCTTTCATCTCTCAAACATGGATTCGATTTGCATACAAAATCAACACAAAAATGTTCTTCTAGTTACACTTGCAGCTCAAGGTCACGTAAACCCTATCCTAAGGCTAGGCAACCTTCTTGTTTCCAAAGGCCTACATGTGACTCTCGCCATCAACCACTATGCCCTCAAACACCGTTCCCCCACCACCCACACCACCACCGTTGGTGGTGGCATCCACCTTGAGTTCTTCTCTGACGGCCTTCCTATTGACTACAACCGAAAGGCCGATATAGATTACTACTTGGATTCACTAAGTAAGTTTGGACCTGTTAACCTCTTGGCCTTTATTCGATCTCACCCACGTAAATTTGCATGCATCATCAACACCCCGTTTGTGCCGTGGGCCGCCGACGTGGCGGCAACGGTTGGCGTTCCGACCGCCATGCTATGGATCCAACCATGCTCCCTGTACCAGATATATTATCGTTATTACAATATGCTCGATGAGTTCCCTACTGAAAGTAACCCGAATGTGAGCGTGAAGTTGCCGGGGCTGCCGGTTTTTGCAGCGGAAGAGTTGCCGTCGTTTGTTCTTCCCACGAATACGTTCCGTAGTTTCTACAATATATTAAAAGAATTGTTTACTAATACCTGCAAGGTGAAGTGGGTGCTGGGGAATTCGTTCATGGAGCTCGAGAAAGATGTGATCATGTCACTAAATGATGGTGGCCGTGTGTTTTTGCCCGTGGGACCATTAGTTCCGGCTACGCTTATCGGTAAGGAAGAAGAAGTAGATTTTGATCTTTTCGGAAGTGACGTCAAGAGTAATAATTGTATGGAGTGGCTAAATATACAAAAACCCTCTTCGGTTGTTTATATCTCATTTGGTAGTATCCTCAATTTGTCGAATAAAGAAATAGAGAGCATAGCGGTTGGTCTGAAGAATATTAAACGGCCGTTTCTCTGGGTGATAAGGCCGCCGGAAAATCAAGAACTACCGGAATTAGGGTGTTTGGAAGAGATCAAGGAACAAGGGTTGATTGTGAAGTGGAGCCCACAAACGTTTGTGTTGTCACATCCATCGGTTGGGTGTTTCCTGAGTCACTGTGGGTGGAACTCGTTGCTGGAAAGTCTTGCTGCCGGAGTGCCTGTCATTGCATGTCCACAGTGGACTGACCAGCCTACAAACTGTAAACTCGTGACTGATGTTTGGGGTGTTGGCGTGAAGCTCAAGAAAAGTTCAGAAGGTCTTGTTAATGGGGAGGAACTGGGAAGATGCGTGGAAGAGATTATGAGTGGGCCGAAATCGGAAGAGTTCAAGAAGAATGCGGCGGAGTTGAAAACGGCGGCGCGTGAGGCTTTGGCAGATGGTGGTTCCTCAGACAAGAATATTCAGATGTTTGTAAACGAAATGATTTCATCATCGATTTTCAAACCAAAATAAAAACAACATAATGAATTTTAAGACTTTACTTATTGGTTAGATCATGACGATGTAACGATCTTCCAAGGCTATTAATAGTTGATTTCGATTACGCTTGCCTATCATTAACTAAAAGTTTTTACTATTTCAGGGGTTGTTTCGTAGATAGACCAATGAAATGACTATTATAACAAAATGAAATGTAGAAAATCAATGGGAGTAGCTATTTTGTAATGAAAATCTTGTTGAATCTTCCATCAATAAATACTTTGTAACTCTTTCTAAACTGCAAAGGCTTCATGCTAGCACTCCACTTCTAAGGTTAAAGAGAATGCATCACAATGCATTTATGTGTGAAGGTATGCCGCATCAAACAAAATCATTCCACCTTCAAGTCACTAGTAATAGGAAATGGTGTCCGGAAGTATATATGTAGTGACATAGAGATACATAGAGAGAAGGTTTTTTCTCTCTGGTTTGTGAAGGAACATAGCAGGCTTCACGGATGCTCCCAAAGTTACAAGTAGGGTGGTGTTTGGAGGTAAGTCACACGTGACTTGGGGTTGCCAAGTCAACTAACATGTCAAAACCCCAAGCACTATGTATAGCCTAACTGCCTAAGGTACAAGCCTAAGGTAAGTGACATATATGCTTATAAAACAAACAAATATTAGGCTTAAAAGTGACATCTATGATAAATAGTTCAATGAAAGAAT